CGAGATCAAGCAGATCCCAAAGGCTGCGGGATGGGGATTTCCCAAGAGGGCCAGGTCCAACTGCACCTCACAAAATGGGAGATGAGCACCAACACCCACAGAGCAGGTCACAGTCCAACACAGAGGCACAGCTAGGCCTAGTTGAGAGAGACCGTGCTACCTGTAGGATGGGCAGGAGAGAAAGTAGGAACCTGAAGCGTTGCACTGGGAGCACGCAGCTTCTCAGGTGTGCTTCCTCAGGGCTGCCGGGGGCTGGAAAAGCCTAGTCCAAGCTCCTCCATGAAGATCCATAGGGACGGGGCTTTCACGCACAAAACAGGGAGGAACCACGACAAGGTGGGAGCTGTCATGGGGCAGGAAGCCCCTGCAAACCAGAACAATTTATTGGTTGGTTGGACACAGCAGCACAGCTGCCAGGGCAGCGCGGTTGGGCCAAACTCAAGCAGAGGCCGGGGTCTAGGTGGATATGGGGATACGGAGCGGGGAAAGAGGGAAGCAGTGAGCTGCTTCGGTCTCAGAGGACAGTTGCAGGCACCAGGACGCGGGTGAGACGGCTTTGCCACAGCACTGGAGGACTACCAGAACACGTCCTTGCTGGCACAAGCAGCTCATCCCAGGCCGTGGGCTGCTCCTGCTCTGTGACAGAGGATGCTGGAGCTTGATGAGGGAGCAAATTTGAGGGGGAGCAGTAACCCAGCACAAGCTATATGAAGTTCTGCTTCCAGTGGTGGAGGACCAAGCCTCGAGAAGGGGCTCCGGGAATTGCCATCAGCACTGAGCCTCGGACGTCCACCCCATCTTCTCCTCTCCCTCACTGCTCTGACTGTCTCCTGAGGACTCCAGGACAGGCAGGGGCTGGGGCAACAGCTCTCCAGCCTGGCCACCTTTACCTGTGGAGACCAAGGGCACCCAGGGCAGAGGCTGCTGCGTGCCCTCAGCAGCGTGCAGCGTCACAGCTGCCACTCTCCACCCTCTCTCTGCCAGCTGTGGGAACACAGGCAGGGCAATCCATCTCCTACCTGCAGCCTCGTCTGCCAGAAGAGTGTCCTTGATCACGCAGTAATTATCCGAGTTCTCATAGGGCTGGAGCTCTAGGGGAATGACAGAAACAGCCTGAAGGACCCAGGGGTCATGGGAGAAGGAGCAGGGTGGACCCAGGCAGGCAGCAGCACTGGGAGCTGCAGGGCACCCTGGGACACACACCAGCAGGGCAGCAGGGCTGGGCAGAGGCCCTGCCTCTGCCGGGCAGGGTGAGCACGAGGGGCAGCTCCCAACCCTCAGTTGGCACGGCGAGGGGACCCTGGCCAGAAGCTGCTGGAGGAGGCAGCGGGAGGAGGCTCTCGGCTGGGGATAGCACGTGTGGGACACACTGCTCTGGCAGGGCCGCCAGAGGCCGCTGGGCTGCCTGCCGCCCCCACAGG